ACAAAAAATATGTACAGTATTTCAGAGCTAAAAATCTTGATTAACCTAACATTCCACATATCATTTCCAGTTTTAGTTAATTTGTTATTTTATGAATTATCAAAATAAAATAAAAATTAGTGTGACAACAATAACCAAAGCTTTTTAGCTTCATATATGGATTATAGATTACATATGAAGGAAGTTAAGAGAGTTAAGACCAAGCTTCAACATTGTACCTCGTACCTCCCTGCCTTCTCCAAAGCCTTGAGCCACCGTGAAGCTACCTCCTTTGATCCTCCTGTCTCCTCCGAAGCCGACATCACATCACAAGGCATTTTCGTCGATGAGCCCGCCACGTAAACAGCAGCTCCATCACAGAGTAAATCCCAAACTTTCTTGCTCATTTCGCGGATCTTATGTTGCACGTAAACCTTCATCGGTTGGTCTCTAGAGAACGCTGTGTAAAAGCCACCACCTTTTCCTTCAGAGAGCATGCCTCCTTCTCTTGCGTGAGACTCCCAGAAGTCGCGGTATAGAAAGTCTGTGTCTTTGTTTCTGCAACCGAAGAAGAACATGACGGGCGCAATCAGGCTAGACTGAGCTTGTACGGCTCTCTCAGCTATGAACCCACGGAAAGGCGCACATCCGGTTCCGGGTCCCACTAAGATGAGCGGAAGCGACTGTGATGGAGCAGGAAGGGAGCCTTTGTGAAACCAAACCGGTATGTTTACCTCTAACCACAACCGAAAACAAAAAAACACATCAGAAACAAAGAACTGAGCCAGTCACAGTTATGGTAAAGAAGAAACAAACTTCTAACCTTGTTCAGGTGTGAGGCTTGCAAGCCAAGTGGAGCACAGACCTTTTCGAGTTCTCTTATAAGGCGTGATCCATGATACTATGCTTACGGTCAAATGTACTTGAGCAGGGTGGGCCAAAGGAGACGATGATATCGAAAAAGCTCTTGGTTTTAGCGGTGGGACTAACTGTACTAGCCACTCAAATGGGATTTGTACGGAAGGAAAATCCTCTAGCACCTACATAGGCATTAGAAATACAATCCATTTTCAATGAGTGTTCAAGACGAATCATGGACCTGTGAGATCTGGTGCTATTTTACCTCAAGAATGCTCCTTCTTTCCTTCTGATTGTAATTGTAGAGATCATCCCGCCCCTCGGGTGAGACAAAGTATTGAAGTCTTTCCTTCTCATGTTCAGCTGTTGCATAGAAGCTCATAACCTGAACAGAGATGATACATTACAAGGGTTTCCATCAAATACTTGTTTCATAAATAAACTCAAAACCATATCTACGTGAGATGAAAAGGACTTTCATAAATTTGAATCAAACGCATTAGGATTAAAGGGTTCTTACCTCAAAGAAGTATCGTCGAGGTGAAGCGGATGTAACATCCATTGTTAATTCAACAAAAGTCTTAAGCTTGATAGGGAGCTGTGTAATCATTTCTTCATTGAAACTACTATTCTCTGTCTCTCTCGGACCAATCTGAAAACAAATTAACTCTCGGGATTTATTTTGGATCCCAAATTAGAATATCTAAGATCATTTTATATCAACTGAGTGGAGCTACTTACTGTTATGAATGATTCTGGGTCTAAATCGCAGCGTTCTATAAACGCATCTATTGCTGAAGGATTTTGGCTAGGAAGAAGCTCAACAACATCACCGACTTCATATTCAATATTCTTAAAAGAGGAGAAATCAAAGAGGATAATAAAACATCACCCTCAAAATTGACTGAACGTTGACCTTAAAAGTAAGTGACAGCAAAGTACTTACAGAAGAAACAAATTGGAACTCAAAGTGGCGGACATCCTTTGTGCTTCCAGCTTTAGTCAAGACTTCATTTCTGGTCTACATGATTGAAATGTTAAGGCATGCTAAGAGAATGAAACTCATATCATCTAAGACTTAGGATAATAATGCATACCAAAATAGATATTCTAAGAAAACATGTTAATCATCAAGCAACACACCAGATTCAAGGTAACAGAGCATTGGAATAGCATAACCAGTGAGTTTGACTAGCATATCAGAAAGAAAGAAAAAAAGGAAATTTTTTGTTGGGCAACAGGATGGGCATACCATCTTGAGAAAGCAGTCTGGTTTACTTTTGTCCTTGAATAATTTTCCCGGGGACATTCCACGGGCTCTTTGTATGATATCTGTCAAAATATAAGAGGCATATTATGCAAGATAAATTCCCAAAAACAGGTAATATGCTACCTAACTTTTTTCATGATGCAAGAGAAACTAGTTCACAAGCCAATTGAAACAGAACATTTGTGAGACTATTTCCAGCAGATTCATTCAAAGTGATTGGCATTTCTAGCAATTACCGTTAGCAAGTAGACAGTTCACTGTTAAGTGGCATAACATAGTCATAAATTAACATAAATGAAGCAAAGTACCACTCAATAATTTTGGCCTACCTGACTCTGTCAATAATTTAGGCTCCAATTTCTCCCGCTTATGATATAAAATCCTATATTTAGGCTGATCAATTAGTTCATCTTGAGGAATCTTCACATCTGGACCTCTAGGAAAGTATTTTGGATTGATCTGGTATAATGTACTCCACAAAGACAGCATCCACGGATCAAGAGTTCCTTCATACCTGAAAATACAGATAACACCAAAACTGAAAACTTAGTATTCTAACTTGGACTTTATAGTACTATACCAGAAACAGTAAGAATGTGGATACAATATCTTCAACTGATCAAATGATTCGTCCGAATTCAAAGAATATTATGTAAAAGCAGGATTCTCTATATTTCTTAATACACCGTATCATACCCTGATGGGTGTTGATCATCTCCTAGACCTTTTTCAATGATGGTTGTGGCCCCCAGATCTGATAATCTTTTGTCTAGCTTCTTTGCTACAAACTAAAGCCATGAGAAAGAAAATCATGTCATGAATTTGTGCCACAGAAGAATAAATCAGACAGATGAACTTACATTGTACTTCTGGTAACCAGAATCACCTAATCCAAACACCGCATAGCGAACTTGTTGCAACCAATAGTTTCCCAGATTTCTTTGAAGAAGAAACCTCCAAAATGCCTTGAATGATTGAAAAAGAAAATGAACAATATAAGCTACAAATAATTAGAAGTGGTTTGCAAGGAATAACCAAATACATGTTGGTAAAATTTCTCAAGAATTTAAACGAACCTTAAAGGAATCAGGAGAGTCTCCTTGCCCTGTAGTGGAGACAACAAAAACAACAGCCTCCTCATGAGGTAAGGAACTCTGCAGAAACACACATGATAACTTGATGAAAGGAAAACACTTTTATGTCACACTATTAAAGAGTTTGTGAAATCTCAATTTTAAGTCAAAATTCAATCAATATAAATCCAATAGCTTACTATTGGTATGGAAACAAACATATTAGCAATCATCGGTTTTTGTCTTCCACAAATTTCAAGGTGAGCAATTGAAAGGTGTCCTTCACATATCAAGCATCATATAAACAAAGCAAACAATCTTTGAAACAAAATTTTATTTTACTACACACATACCGCGTCGAATTCGTCGGTGGAGACGATAGATGCTGGAAATCCACGGCGTTCTGCTTCGCGGCCAATACGCTCCGCCGCATCAAGAGCGTTCCCGGTCTGAGAAGCATACATCACAAGCAGCTTCCTCGGCTTTTCTCCCATCGCCGCCACTTCACCACCCGTCGATTGAGAATTAACTGCAAAACCGGATCCCGGTCTGATGATTTAAATAAGAAAAGTCGAACCGAATGAAATAATTAAAAAAAAAAAAAAAACTGAAATTTTTTAAGAACATAACGAAAAAATACATCTCCCCAAAAAAAGAAAGAAAAGAAAAGTAGAATCAATTTTACCGGCGTTTTGGAATGTCTGATGCACCACTACCGTTCGATTCAAACCCCTAAGGTACTTACAAAAAGGAGATCTAATCAGAAATTCTACTACTTCAAATGTTTGTCTTCTTTTTTGTGAAGAAACAATTCATAGAGTTTAAAAAGTGCGTAATAAGAAATCCATAAAGAGAAGAAGATTACTTTGATGATGGTGGATTCGCCCATACTTAAGTTGAGAAAAGCAGACTGCTAGGGTTTTTTTTTTGTCAAAGGACGAAGAAGGTACAGTATCTATAATTTTCGTTTGGGACATTTCTTGTCTATAATTAAAAACAAACGATTGGGCCTTAAATTTAAGTCAGGCCTGGAATAAGTCCTCGGTTTTTTGTCACTATCAAATCTCAAAGTCTCAAACCTCGAAACTGGTTTCTGTCACTTGGGCTTTTATTGATCCAAATCTCAAATTGAACCGACAAAAACGAGAAGAAGAAGAACAAGTGCATATTGGTTTGGAAGGAAACATAAACGAGAAGGATAAAGTAATAGCCATCGTAAAAGATGAAGCCATAGTGGGCGATGACGATGATACTGAGTGTGATCAAGACACAAACGGGGAACCCACTAACAACGGTAATCTGCTCTAGAATATCTCCGGATGATGCACGTGTAAAATGTACAAAAGATGGAACCAGGCTAATCAGTGGGAGCGATGAATAGTCCGATATGGTTATTCCAGCCTCGGAGATCAAGAAAATTCCAAACACTTACACAAACCTTCTTCCCTTGAGTTCACAAACCAGACCTGAGAATGTATGCCTGGACATGTGAGAAAGGAACGTTAATTGATATGTGGCAAATTTGATGAAGACGGGAAACTTTCTTTGCTGGTATGACCGAGTCGGAGTCACCATGGCATGGAATACCATGGATCTCAGAAGTTGATAATTAGCTGTGCCAAGAGAAGATTGGTGAAGTATACTCAAAGAGGCTCAAGTGATGAAATTCCCCCTGCTTGTAAATTAATTTGTCTTCTTGACTTTTTTTTTTTTCTTTGGCAACTAGATACGAAGCATACAAGAAGATATGAACTTAATGAAAATGCTACCTAATCGATGGATACGTATACGGCTATCAGAACTAAGGCAGATAATGATTATATAGAGATAATTTCTTCATTATCCAATACTCTAAGGTAAATAACCAAGGCTGATAATGATTATTGCTGTCAACATCCAGACAAAAACAAAAGAGTGATGAAAAAGAAAGAAAAGAGGCTGCGTTTTTGGTGTATCGTCACAATAAGTTTAAAACACCAACCAAAGAGCTTAGTCTGCTCCTAATCCCAAGAGAGAGAATTCTAATCGGTAGTCTTCTTATTCATCTTCTTCTTCATCTTCTTCTTCATCTTCTTCATAATGCCAAGTATGGAGGGTGGAGCACGATCTAAAAATAAACCACGAAATGAATTAATGAGAGGTTTTAATATGTTACGAAAAAAGATTCAAGGGGCAAAGTCATGTACTGGATGTTGGGAAATTTTTTTCCGAGTCCATTGGCGGCATGACACACTCAACTGTAATGTTCCATCCTCCCATGTCACGTCCACTAAGTTCGAGGGCCTTTTCTGCTGCTCCTTCTTCCCGAATAGAAATGATAGCTTTCCTGTAAAAAAACTCATCAAAAGGCAATTGCCTTTTAATTCTCTCTTAAAACTCACAACTTGAGAGAAAATTATATAAGAAGCCACAAACAAACCTGCAGGTGGGGAGAATGTCAACACCGGTGACCTCTCCACATGAAGAGAAATGTTTACTCAGCCCGATCTGGAGATCAATCTCAGGGAGCGAAGTGTCATATCCCGAAACTATCATCCTAACAATTTTGTTTGCACGAGTTAATCAACATGACAACAACAACAACAAGAACACACAAAAAAAGGGAGATGGTATTACTTACGTGCGTTCTGAACTGAAGTGTTTGAATGACACATCAGCCCATCCAGGATCAATGTAGTCTCCATTAAACGGTGACTCCTCAGCGAATACACGCCATCCTCCCTCGACGGCACTTCGACTAAGGTTCAACGCCTTCTCTACGGCACCTTCTGTGGCAAAGTCAACGAAGGCAAAGCTGTGAAACAATAAAAACAATTTGTTAGCATTTTTAAAATTATGACTTCTAATAACAGGGGAAAATTGAAACCAACCTCTTGAGGATACCCTTTTCAAAGTTTCTGGGAATATAAATATGTGAGATCTCTCCGCATGAAGAGAAATGTTTTGTCAACGCGAGCTCGAGATCATACTCATAAATCGAAGTATCATATCCCTCAACGCGGATCCTGCTAAAGATACTGCAATAATATTTTTGATGATTTAGCTTGCATGAGGTATTATTATCAACAACATGAGGAAAAATACATCTCCCCAGAAAAAAGAAAAATAGAATCAATTTACCGGTCTTTTGGAATGTTTGATGCATCACTACCGTTCGATTCAAACCCCTAAGGTACGTACAAAAAGGAGATCTAATCACAAATTCTACTAGTTCAAATACTGTTCTTCTTTCTTGTGAAGAAACAATTCATAGAGAAACAGAGGTTATAGAGTGCGTAAGATGAAATCCATAAGGAGAAGAAGATTACTTCCATCGCCCATACTTAAGTTGAGAAGAGTAGACTGCTAGGGTTTTTTTTTTTTTTTTTTAGGACGAAGAAGGTATCTATAATTTTCGTTTAGACATTTCTTGTCTATAATTTAAAACAAACGATTGGGCCTTAAATTTAGGTCAGGCCTGTAACAAGCCCATATAGCCCTCGTTTTCTATCAATTGGGCTTTTATTCTGTGGGCTTTTATTATTTGTTGAAAACAAAATTGATCCAAATCTCAAATTGAACCGACAAAAACCCGGTTATCTCAAAATTCCAAGACGTTATTCTTAACAAGACGTTATCAGTGTAAGAACTTTTTGACTTTGAGAAAGTCTTTGAATAACTAAAACAGAGTTTTTCAAATTTCCCAAATGGTACTCGCACCCTGCAGACATTTTCGATCAAATTTTTCAGAGAGAGAGATAAGAGGAGATCATATATGGCTGCTCGGAAGAAACGTGCGGCGAAGAGTTCAGAGGATTCAGAGGAGGAACAGAGTCGTCGTCAACGGTTTCAAGCCATTCTTCTAGCTGACAACTTCACCACGAAACTTCTTCCCTTAACCTTAGAACGCCCCAATGTATTGTTACCGCTAGTGAATGTTCCCATGATCGATTACACCTTAGCTTGGCTCGAATCTGCTGGACTAGAAGAAGTTTTCGTCTTTTGCTCGACGCAAGTCATCGATTATCTGAACAACTCTGGATGGTACTCGCACAAAGACTTTACGGTGAAAACGATAGAGTCACCGCACAAATCCACTAGTGCTGGTGATGCTTTGCGTTATATCTATGAGCAACAGATTGACACGTCTCAGATTCAAGATGACGACTTTGTTCTTGTTAGTGGAGGTATTGTGAGTAACATGCCCCTAACGCAGCTGATTCAAGAACACAGAGATAGAAAGAAGAAAGATGATAAAGCTATCATGACTATGGTTATCACGGATCATCAATTCTTCATCGGTGTAAATCCTTTAACAAAACAACTTCTTTATTACAATGAGGACAAGATCTTCTTGGATACGTCATTGATGGATCGTAATCCATCTGTTTTGCTATGTAGTGATATGCAGGATTGTTACATTGACATATGTTCTCTTGAGATGCTTAGTCACTTTGTGGATAACTGCGATTACCAACATCTGCGTTGTGATTTTGTGGAAGGTGTTCTTGCTGATGATATTACGGGTTTCAAGATTTTCACTCATGAGATCAGCTCGTGTTATGCTGCTAGGATTGAAAACTTCCGGAGCTATGACATGGTTAGCAAGGATATAATCCAGAGGCGGACATTCCCGTATGTACCGGATATGAAGTTGAGCGGAAATTGTTCTCTTAAGCTCGGGAGACAAGGGAGCTATAAGGCTTCTGATGCTATCCGGTCACCATCTGTTCATGTTGGAGATTCCTCTGTCATTGGACATGCCAAAAAGATTGGGAGTGGGGCTAAAATCTTGAACTCGGTAATCATATAACACATTGTGCTGGAGCAATATTCTACTCTATGATGAAACTAGCAGCTGATACTCCACATAGCTCTGATATTAACTTGTATAAAAATACGGCGAGTATCATTACTCGATGGAAGGGACTTCTTGGGTTCTATGTAAAGCAAATTGACGAACAGATAGAAGTAATATCGAGATTGGAAGAGATGTGTCAAGAATCTGCGCATGAGTTGGGACCTTTGTTTGCTCATATATATAATATATTATTCGTTTTATGTATGAGCAAGAGAATGACAATTTGCAAGAAGTTGCAATCTTGAGATGGGCGGATGAAAAAGCAGGAGCTGATGAATCTGACAAAGTTTATCTGAAACAATGCGAGCCATTCATATAACATGGCTCAAGGAAACATCTGATGATGAAGATGACTGAGTTCGTTGGCTTCCAAATGGATTGATATATTGATTATTTGCAGTTAACAGATACTTTGTCTTTTATGTCACTCTTTTTTTTCCATGTTTATGTTGTTCTAATGATGTATTTCTTATCCATTGACTTACACACTTGTGATGTAAATATATACAACTTTATGTTTTTGTAAATGCATTATAGGAAGCTTATGAATAAATTGAAAGAAAAAAGCTTCATTGAGTGAGATTTGATGATATCTTAACTATGTTGCTTGGAGTTACCTAAGTATTAGCATAGTGGCCTTTTGTGCTTTCTAAAATGTTTAGATTTTGTTAATCCATCTATTAAATCACTAGACAAAATTAAAATTGTACCAGCAAACAAAAAAAACTTGTAGGTTCACAATGCTGTACCAATAAGAATACTGAAATTCTTATTTATGAAGTAATTTTTAAAAATTGTTATTTCCCAAAAATAATTAAAACACTTATATAGTTATTTAAGGAATTAGAATTTTTTTTTATCTTTTTTTGTCTGAATAATAATATTAAACCGTCCAAAGATACAATGATCGGCTGAAGGAGTTTTTTTTTTTGTCATCCGTATATTAAATAGAGCTCAAAATAGCCATTCCTGAGGAATGTTGTTTACATAAGTGATATGAAACGGTTCCGTACGAATTTTTCGTGCCAGATTGTCCGCTTTTACATTAGCACAACGAGAAATTAAAGATAGAGAGAAGTTGGAGAACTCTTCCTTGTCGCTCTGAAATTCCTCTAGATACACTGAAAATGCCGGCCATTCGGTTGGGGAAGACACCATCTTCACCAGGTCAGAACAGTCTGTAAGGAATGCTACCTCTTGATTATCTGCACCAATCATACACTTCATCGCCCAAAGGAGGGCCTCGAATTCTGCATGTAGCGGAGATAGACTTCTACGGAGGTTGGCAGCTCTCATTGTTGGCGGCTCACCATTTGATGGTATACACAACCACCCTATACCGGAAAATTTGTCACTATCTTTCCAAGATCCGTCCACAAAACAACGGTATCCCGTGAAGTTCGAAACTAGGGACACCCCCCTTATTCGAGGCCGATTTGAAAATTCCATTAAACCATGTATTTCACTATGTAGCTCCATTTGAGCTGAATGCCACAATTGGGCCTCTCTTTCCGCTAGCCTTAAAACCTCCAATGGATCATTATCAATATTTTCAAAACATTTTTCATTTTGTGCTTTCCAGATATACCAAATAATTCATGGAAAAGCTGTAGAATCAACCTCCGAAGGTGTCCTCCAGAATAAATGATCCAAGTTCGCAAAAATAGAATCCGTGGGAAAATTCTCCATAGCCGTAGGAATCTGAGAAAGTGCCCAAACCTGTCGTGCTGGATGTCACTGAAAAAGTGTGTGATTGACTGTTTCCTCTGGTGCTCCACATCTGGCACACCTAGTGTCACAATCAATTCCTCTTTTCCTTAAATTCTCTGTAACTGGTACACAACCCGTTAAAATTTGCCATAAAAAATGACGTATCTTAGGTGGACATTGTACTTTCCAACCTTTTAACTTATTGAAATCTGGTCCAATGAAAGACGAGTTGGATGATTTAATTAAGTGTAAAATAATAAAGGAATTATTAATTTTTGGATGATTTTGAAAGTAAAGAATAATAAGAAAATGAAAACGAAGAAGAAGGAACATCGTCTTCCCCAGAGAGTCCTCTTTCACCGCCTTTGATTCTTTTACTTATAAACCCTTACCTTCCTCTTCCTCTGTATATATCTCTCTCTAGAAACCTTTTTCCTCATCGAACTCGCCAGAAATGGCAGATGACTTGGCGAATCTCTGCCGATTTCTCTTCGACGACACCGCCTTTCCCTCTTTGTCGTCTTCGGCATCTTCAGATCTCTTTTCTCGCCGTTTACGCTCCGATGATTCGATCAAGCGCGGTCTCCGTTCTTTCTATCTCCTCCTTCGCTGGGGTATCGCTCCGATCGATGATTCCTCTGGCCAGCTACGCTTTCAGACATGGTCCGATTCGCAGGTTCAAGCACTTGTTTCGATATCTCAAGCGATCCTTCTACTATCGCGATCTCTTTTAGGTACTGACTTGACGCTGAATAGTTTAAATCAAGGTTTAGGTCGGTATCATTTACCTGTCCATTTCTTTGATTATAGTTCGTCTTCCACTTTCTGAGCTTTTCCAGATTAACAGTGATGACCTCGAATCATTTTGCTTACTGGTTTACTGTTTTTTTTTTGTTGGTGTTATCTCAGTGGACCAACTCGAACCAATCGTTTTGGGTGTCATCCAGGCGGTGATGGAATTCTCTCTCAGCTTCTTGGAAAAGTCAAGTTTTAGACAAAATGATCTGAAAATGGAGGTTTGTTCTTTATTTTGATCAATGCCCTTCTTTACTTCAATTTGTGATAGAGATTCAGTAAGGAAGTCTTTAATGTTGGATATTGGTCTCCTTTTCGTCATGATTTGTAAGTCTCTTTGTTGCTCTTTTTTGGTTCACTGGGTAAGTCTAGGACATACCTTCTAGAGAATTTGTTTTATTTGTGTTTGTTTTCCGATGATAAGACGCTTGAACTCGTTTTATAAGACTTTATCAGGGTCTTTACGCCAGCGGGTAGGTTTCATTGTTGCACCATAGATTTTAGTCACATATGCTTACCTGCATGTTTTCGTTTACCCTTTCCATGAGGGTTATAGTATGGTTACAGTCTACTTCCATTTTCGTCCATTCCCAAAAAACTTGTGGGCTACTGACTTTGTTCTTACTGTATTTCTATCAAGCTTGACTGCGTTAGTAATCTCTCCAAATGCTTGCTTGAATCAGATAAACATGGAAATACTTTTGGAAGTTGCTTCTTTTGATGGAAGTGAGAAGCAATATGATATATTACCGGCTGTCTCTCCCGCCGAAGTTGCAGAACTGTGGCCAGCGTTTTCTGGCGAGCATGATAATATGGAAATACATAGCCTCGTGAAATGTACTTTTCAAGGTATTGTTGCTACCCATCCACTCAGGCATTTGTTTTCTTACCTCAAATTTAACCTGATGACCCTTACATCTTTTGACATGTCAAGCAGGGGGCAGATGCTCAAATGAAGAGAAGCCAGTTGACCGGCTTCTTATTACGCTGATGTCTGAATGCATTGAATCTGATGTCCAGGCGCAGTCAGTAATAAAGCCCTCTTTTCAACAAGACTGTGGAGACCTGAATCCCTTAACTCGACACCTGGCTGTTGTTCACCTTGGCTGTGTTTGTCGTCTGATTATGGTCTGCAAAGAGCTTGTTCAGTTGCCAAATGTGTTAGATGAGAAGACGGTTGATCAAGCTTTCCTTGATAAATTGTCCTTCTGCTTAAGAATTTTGAAGCTGCTTGGGAGTCTTTCTAAAGATGTTCAAAGTATTGAAAATGACGGCTCATTGTTACAAGCAGTAGCTTCATTTACAGATGCTTTTCCTAAGCTGTTTAGGGTTTTCTTTGATTTCACTAACCACATTGCTACAGAGGGTAATATTGAGAGTCTTTCTCTTGCGCTAGTGGAGGGATTTCTCAATCTCGTCCAACTCATTTTTGGCAAGAGCAGTGTTTTTCAGAATGTCCAGGCATGTGTGGCAGCTTCTATTGTGAGCAATCTAGATTCCTCAGTGTGGAGATATGATGTGTCCTCTTGTAATTTGACACCTCCACTTGCTTACTTCCCTCGGTCTGTCATCTACACATTGAAACTCATTCAAGATCTCAAGAGACAACCATACCATATCCAAGATCTGAGGGTTTTAGAGTCTGAAGTCACCTATGACGATGCCAGTTCCACTGTTGATTCTGTTTATTTCCATCTGCGCCAGGAAAACATCCCGTTGCTCAAGTGCTTCACGGTCGAGGATATAATGAGAGTGATATTTCCTTCATCAAGTCAATGGATGGATAACTTCTTCCATCTTGTTTATTTCCTCCATCACGAAGGAGTAAAATTACGACCAAAAGTTGAGAGGACGTATTCCAGTTTAAGATCCAACAGTTTTGCAGAAGTTGAAAGCCAAATTTCTCATGACGATGAAGCCCTGTTTGGAAATTTGTTTTCTGAGGGTAGTCGTTCTCTGTGTTCCATAGAACCAAATGATCAACCACCTGTTTCTGTCAGCAGCAATTTACCATTGCAAGCTGCTAAGGAACTGTTGAATTTTCTTAGAGCGTGCGTTTTTTGTCAAGAATGGGTTCCTAGTATATACGAAGATGGATGTAAAAAGCTTGACGCTGGTCACATTGATATCCTGCTCAATATAGTAGGCTGTAGTATTGAAGACAAGGCTTCTGATGGTGGTTGCATGCTCCAAGATGAGGGAAGACCTGGACATGTTGCTTTTGAGCTGTTACTCAATCTCTTGAGAAGTCGTGCTCTGTCTGATTTTCTAGAGTCCTACCTTTTTCAGCAAATTCTTGTTGTCGAAAATAGTGACTTCAACTATAATGATAAGACTCTGGCACTGTTGGCTCACACTCTTCTTTGTAGGCCGGGGTTGGCTGGGGCACCGTTGAGAGACAAAATTTATGATGGTTTCGTTAGTTTTGTTGCCGAGAGAGCAAGAGGTATATGTGCTGAAGCTTTGAGTCTCAAGGAGTTGACTGCGTGTCTTCCCTCTGCTTTCCATATTGAGATTCTTCTTATGGCTTTCCATTTATCAAATGAAGCTGAAAAGGCAAAATTCTCAAATCTCATTGCTTCATGTCTACAGAAAGTTGATACCCCGTCAGGAATATGTGATGGTCCTCAGCTGTCCTCTTGGGCAATACTGATATCTAGGTTGTTGGTGCTGTTGCACCATATGTTGTTACATCCAAACACATGCCCAACATCATTAATGCTAGATCTAAGGTCTAAACTGAGAGAAGTTCGTAGCTGTGGTAGTAATTTGCATGTAACCGTTGGTGATCATTTATCTTCATGGGTGTCTCTTGTAGCCAGGGGTATAACTGATTCATGGACTGAGGATGAGTCAGTCAGCCATCTGATGAGTCAAATGATTGACTTTTCCCCACATCCTCCTACATTTCAGAATGATGTGTCTGCTGCCAAAACCCTAAACTTGGATTATGGAGATTTATCTGCGAGTTTGTCTCGGGTTTTGGGGCTGTGGAAGGGAAAAAAGGCAGGAAAAGTGGAAGACCTGATAGTGGAAAGATACATTTTCATGCTTTCTTCGGATATTGCTCGTATTAACTGTGCATTGGATAGTCAGCCCTCC